GCTCGTCCCCCGTCGCGCTCGAAGCGCGGCAGAACTTACGCAGCAAATTCCTCCACGCCTGCACCCAGAGGTGATAAATGGGAGCGGCGGGGGCCCTAATCAGATGTTCCGCCGGGGTTATCTGCTCCCGGGCGATAGATCGTTACCAGGCGCGAGTGGGCCGCACTTCACCCCCTTATCTCGCCACACTCCTCCATCCCGCCCGCCGCTATCGCTCCCGACTGGAATGTCCAAACCAAGACGCGAGACAGGACGGGAGGAGCAACGGAGGACAGAGAAGAACAAACAAGGCGAGACGTGTAATCTCTGTACTTAGCTGCCCCCCCCACCCCCCCCAATCTTGGATGCCATCTCGTCCAGTTGAGCCGTGAGCGTGAGAGGGGGAGATATCATCGGGTGGGTGGGTGGGCGCGGGAGGCAGAGGAGGGATGTGTGCGTAGCTGGATGCTAAGAGGAGGGTGTGTGACGACTTCAAGTGTAAATGGAATGCTACGTTTTAAATGGCTAAATCTGCTGACCTCAAGGTCAACTAACCCGCGTGTTTGTGTGTGTGTGTGTGTGTGTGTGCGTGCGTGTGCACGTCTGCATCTATGCAGCAAAGTTTAGCTGCGTCAACTCCTCCACCTACGAGGAGAAGCCTGACAGGACTCACGCACACACACTCGTGCGCACTGTTGCAGGACAATGGAGCCGTCACGTCACACCTCGTCTTTCAGGACGGACGCGCAGCTGCGCTGGAATAAAAAACACATGATCGGGTTGAGCAGAGAGACGATACGTGTTTTGCCAAAGAGTTTGACAACCGATGCAACCCAAACATGGGGAGAAAAAGGAAGCGCTTTAAAGCGGTGGAAGTCGGCGAGCGGCGTTGTTTGTGTGCGTCGGGCCGTTCCTGAACATTGGTGCGAGTTCAAGCGGGACATCGGACACCGTAAACAGATGAAAACAAACAACATGTTTTTTTTTTTGTTAATGTTTCTTTTCTCACTATTGCAGGAAGGTTTCGAACGCCAAGTTTATGTCTCCTTTAGTCCGCTGCAGCATATCTCGAATTCCTCGCCGAACTTCTGGCTAATATTGTTTACGGTATGCTGGGAGTTGAGGCGAAGTGACGGGTGGTCCTCTCTTCGGCCCTGTTTCGGGTTTCTGAGGCTTGTTTCGAGACGGTTTGGTGAAACTTTTCCAAAGCTCCCTTTCTGCATCGAACAACTGACTCTTTGATTGAAGCCAACTCATTATTTGATCATGCCGGGGGCTTTGGGACACGTTTCACAGCAAAGGAAGTGGCTCACCTGGGCTAAGATGCTGAGAAATGTAGCCAGGCATCATAAGACAAGGAAAACAGACGCTTAACAGGCGCGTTTCATTTCAGAATAAGCCCTGGGCCGTCTGTACCCGGCTAATCTCACTAAAACCCACTTCTTAAAGCTTTTTTTTGGCTTGTTTGCCTTTAAAGTGCGGGAGGAAGGCTAGTAGAAAGCTTGGCTGTTGACTTAGGTAAGAGGCAAAGTGACAGCCCCGCTATAGCTATGCAATGAGGTGTGCAGAGACAGAGAGCAGAAGAAGAAGAAGAAGAAGAAGGAGCACAGTCATGATGACAGATGAGCCGACGAAAGCAGAAAAATAATCGCACAACATTTGAGCTACGTGAGGCGGGAACGCTCTTAAAATGGGCGGCAATAACTTCATGGCCACTTCATGGGCCTTGGTCTGATTGAACATAGGAGGGATATGTATATATATATATATATATATATATATACTATCGAATTGTAAAGTCTTTCAGTCTGTACCAAACAGCTCAAGGTTCATTCAAACCATCTTCTTGACCGGGGTCGTCGGGGTCAAGCTTACCTCTTAACAACAAAAGGGCATTTCAAACTGCTACTTTAAAGCTACTTTAAACCCATGAATGGATTTTCTCGGGATTATTATGGGACCCGCCGGACAAACAGAAAAGGATGGGGGAGCAAACATGCAACAGGAGCCAAGCCGCGCTCACAGGGGCCGCCGCACCTGTCTGCCCGGCAACGGCGAAGCCGAAGTCGTCACAGCTAAATGCAGATGACACAGCAACAACATTTGGACTTCCTGTTCTGCAAACCACGAAACCAAAGCCATTTCTGTGCATCTTTGACTCACCAGAACCACCAGCTCGACCACAAGGACTGAACCCGATAGGAATAGCTCATTTTCCCCTGAAGGCCCTGCAGGTATTTGCTCAGCAACGTGTCTCATTAATTGAGTGAGCGTTGACTTCTTGTATTTGGTTTCCACCGAGTTGCTCCTTACCAATATTGGTCAGTGTCTCCCCCCTTCACTCAACAATATATTACGGTGTGAGGGATTTATAGAAGGTCTGTGACCAGAGACCGGCCTCCGAGAAGGCTGGAGCAACCCTTTCCCCCTAAACATGGCTCACCTGGGGGTCTCCTATACTAAATACTAAACTACATGGACATGCCTCTTTAAAGATGTTTCAGGGATCCCGGCCGTGGCCTTCTGATGGCGTCACGTTATGTTTTCTTGTAAAGAACTTAAAGTTGGTGTCGCTTACATCCATGTACGCCGTCTTCCCGGTAGGAAAAACATCTCTGCGGCGCTACAAGAGGCGTGACCCTCCAAAGGGAACCTTTGACGGAGGCCGGTCGCTGCCGTGCATGCGGGACACGGTGGGACACAAGCACGAGTCATTCGGCACAGAGTGTCACTTCACTAGACCTCAGTGGAAAGCAGGACGTCCGCAAGGCAAACAGTGGTGCACGTGCTTTTCCAAGGAATGGAGATGAAAAGGGAGTTGGAAAATATGCTCCTCATCCCACAATGTGAAGTTTTCCACCACTTTGCGCAGCTCTTTTTTTCCTCAATGGCTGGTTCTGAATAAGTGATGAAAGCCGAGGAGAATGGATGAGGGAACAAGAGGGCTGCATCAATCACGCGGAGGCTGGGACCACTTGAGCACTTGAGACTAGATGTAACGCAGGGTGCTCTTAAATCTACCCGAAGCCCAGGAGGATCCGCTCAGAAGATGAGCTCTCTATCTGTGCCGCAGCTGGCTGCGAAAGACATCAGTTCACGCCGACGCTTACATGCTACGGGTCAGTTTAGACTCTGAGGTGATTGCATCTACACCCGGGGACGATTTGCTGGTGTGTTTTTTTTTCTCCCCCTTTTAAATCTGATCATCAGTTTGAACGGAGCTTATGCTTTGATTTGCTTTCACAAGCAGAGATCACGCCGTGAAGGTGCCTCTCGGTGAATAAATCTGCTTTAGGTCTGTTAATCCTGAGCCACATATTTCATCGCTTGTGACAGATTGTTTGTCTTCGTTTCATTTATCTTGATTCTAATTTGTAGTTTCACTTCAGCCACACGTGATATCCAGATTTCTCGGCCGGTTTAGAAACAAAAAAAAAATAAAAAGGGACCACCCAAGAGGCTTGTTGGGCCTCTTCATACTAGCGAGCTGGAGACACATTAAAAACCAATCGGACGGCGATGACACACGGTAGTCGTGCAAGGCCTTATTCGCAAAGCAGATGGAAAGCCTTGGCCTGTCCGACATTAATTACAATCACATTCGTCGAGGAAGCCACCCCCCACCCACACCCTCGCCCCCCCTCCAGGGCGGTTGGGACTCCGTGTACGGCTGGAAGGGATGGCAACCTAATCCCCCCCGGTGACCGCAGAAATCTGAGGGAATCGTCAAAAGATGGACAGGACGCGATTAATCAAAGTCAGGAGCCAGATGTGCAAAGAAGGCTGCATGAACCCAAACTGACACAGAGCAGGAACACCAGAACCACAGACACACGAACGCCCCCGCCGCCACCCTCGCACCCCCACACAGAAGCCAGCGGAGAGGCCACGGTACACCAGACCAAAGCGACGGCCTCGCAGATATCTGGTTCTCATCACCAAGTGTTGCAACATCAATACTCCGAGGACCAATAAGTGGAAGAACATTTGTTTCTTTCAAACTATTTATCTGATTTGTAACGTGTAGTGAGTCACTATAGTGAATGGTTTAAAAGGTGGGGTACACAATATTTCAAGGACTTCCTGTTCCAGTAAAAGCCAGGAAAAAAGAAGCCCTCAGTCTTCAGCTCTCATTGGCCGCATCACGACAAAGACTCTGGTTCCCAAGAAGAGTGACAATCTATCTGGATTTGAGCCCGAGGGTCGGCCAGCGCCTCTGTTTATCTTCAGGCGCTTTGTTTAGAGTCCCTCAGTAAACACTGGAGCTGCTAATGGAAGGAAAGCTTTTGGGCTTTTATGTTCCCAAACCCTTGTGATTAAAGTGTCCCTCTTTATCGTCCCCGGGGCCAATTAAAGACGAATCTGCCGGAGTAACACAAATAACGCGACGCGATTTACGCACAGAAACCGCAACTTCGCTGCGCTGGAGGTCAACAGCAGGAATAGTCCTATATACACAAATACCAGCGGTGGTGGTGGACGGCTTGCCCGGGATACAGGCTCTATTTTCCCCCTCCGAAGGCATAAATCACGGAGTAGATTGCAAAGCAGCGCCGACCACAGCATTTCGGTACCATAAATGAGCCGAGGAGACTGGACGTGTAACGACGAATCACTGCGCAACGACACCGACCTCATCAGTCGGTTGCACCCACAGATGAGATGCGGGAGTGGGCTGCGTGGCCCCCGCGCGCTCCACGCAACGAGATGTGGGGCTTTACGCACCGTGCGCGCTGGTGCGTCTACACAGCGCCTCTGTGTTTAAAAGAAAACGTGGGTCTTCGAAGTTCAACGATGACGATTAAAATAGAAGCCTGGTCCTGATCCAGGAGTCATTTCAAAAATCAGATCCCCGTATATTTACAAGGTTTTGTTGTAAAAGATTTTTCGAGCGAGGCTCCAATTCAACCACCTGTTCGTTCTTGGTTTCATTTAAAACGACGCAAGAAAAGAAAAGCTCGCACCGGGCGCAATGACGCGCACACGAAATCACCGATAAATAAAAAATGCAGCTAACTTACCAAGGTTAACGAAGCTCATGACCATGTCTGCGTCATTTAGAAAGGCACTTTCTTGATATGTGGCAAGAGAAGGACTCGGGGTCGTCTGCATGGGTTCGTACCGGTCCACGATGCCCTCCACCCGGCTCTTCTCCTCGTTCGATATGGTGTTGTATAAGTCCAGCATGAAAAGCGGAGCGGAGTTGTATTTCCCGTGCGGCGGATGCGGTCTCGGTCTGTGAGGCAGCCCGAGGATGGACAGGATCTCCTTCTGCATCTCCCTCTTCTCGTGCGTCCGGAGCCGCCGGTGGATGAAGCCCGGGTGCACCTCGTTGTTTCCATCCAGTGAATAGTTACTCCCCGCCACCAGGAACATGCAGCAATACGCAGTCCACCACAATCCGACCAGGGCAAGCCAGCAGCTGTTCATGGTGTTTCCCCGCTGTGTTCTCCGCTGTCCCAAGTGGGTCTCTCTTGGAGCTGCAGTCCCTTATCCAAATGTAAAAAAAAGAAGAAGGCGTAATGGTAAACCAAAGTCCGTCGAAGCGCGCAGTTGTCAGTCACAGAGATCAAACGCGATACATGACTCGCGAATCAAGCCATTTGGAATACTTCCGATAGAGAAATGCGCAAAAAGGTGTCGGCGCTGCTTTCATTTCGGACTCCTGTCGCGCGCCGTGCTGCTTCGGGGTAGAGTGCACCATGAGAAACTTTATTCCGAGCGCTCCGGTAAGTCGGTCAAACGGCGCCGTTTGATACGACGTTCACAAATAAAAGCAGTCCGGCGACCGAAGCCATTTCACTCGTGCGGACGCGTTTGCGCTCCAAAGAGGTGCGATGTCGCAGCGTTGCGCACCGACGAACGTTGCCCTTTAACAGTGGAAGTGCGACGCAAGTCTAGCAGGAATCAGCAGGTTGCAGTATAATATCCACGCGCGTGTACGTGTGCGTGTGCGTTTTCGGAAACCGCCCACTCTGTGCGCACTTTTAGCCAGAGGTGGAGCTCTGCGGGCTACGAGGACGGACTCCAACATCATATTTCCATATTTTGTTCGCTGCACAATAACAGAAAAAAGAGAGAAAAAAAAACGCAAAGTTGGTCTCCTTTGCACTGGCGTTGCTCTCAATGCTCCTGCTGCGTTTTACGGCTTTTTGCCAGCTGGCCCGTTCACATCATGTGTTCACTTTTACGCTCGCGTGGTTGCGCTTTATTACATCATGCTCCCTCTTTTTTTTTAAGTCCTCGCTTACAACGAACCTGCCGCCATGACTCCCATCCAGAGTCCAGGTGGTTTCCCACCCCGCTGAAGCAGCACACATGTTGCCCAGTTGAGGCACGACCCCTGACGATGGAGTTGGAAACAGCAAGCAATGACGAGGAAGCAGCGATCGGATCAAACACTGCACAAATAAGCAGCTTTATTCACTGTACAACTTAGCATTTGAAAAGTAAAGCAGCTGCGGGATGGAGCTGCCCCTTCATGGTTGTCTTTGCACCAAATGGTAAACTGCTGTGCACGTTCAGGTTTACAGATATTCAAGACTTGCAATAATATCCAGCTGACAACAGCTGGACATCACCAACTAATCTAGATATATGAGACAAGAAGGAGACATGTCCCCCTCTTCTTCCTCTTCCTCCCATCATTCCTTTCCCCCCTAACCTGTGTTATGTCTTCGTGGCCCCTTCAGACGTGATGGTCCTGGTGATAAGGTCCAAAGGTGTCCTATCTCTTGGCATCCCTGCTACTGCTGCTGCTGCTGAGCCAGTATCTTATCTGCACGTGAAGAGTGAGAAGCAGCATCAAAGCTGCACATACCACACACACACACACACACACACACACACACACACACTCTTATGGCATTCAGACTAAATGCAGCACTTTGCACTGATCAGGCTAATAAACCAAACCTCATAATAGCTTTCAATACAATTATTTCTATGTTAACTAACAATGCTGGTGTTTGTGCCCGTTCCTCAGCACAGGCTTGATTAATATTACATGCAAGCATTTAACAATATTTACATTTTTAAATGTTTTTCCTGCTGCAGAAATCCTGTCAGTATAGTTTACAGAAGAAGTGCAAAGACTTGGATATTGTTTGAGCCAGTATGGTGCGTGTGTGCATTAGTGATTAGTGATGCAACCGAGAGAATAGAAATAATATAAAGCACGCTATCAAAATAACAAAACCAGGGCTGAAGACGTCCGAGAACCGTCTCTCTTCATTCATCACATTCTTTAGTTTTTTCTTAGACTCTAAATTCCCATTTACTAAAAAGAAAGCGTCTTCATGAATGTAAACACAGATTCACACAACGAACAGTGAGCTTCAAGCCTCAAGATGCCTTCAAGCTGAGTAAAACAATGATAGGAAACCAAGGATTCTTACCACTGTGAGTTGGTTAATGTTTTAAACACTTGACGGGTCATTAACTTTGGGCCTGTGTCATATTAAACCAACACAAACCAGCTCTAAAGCATCTGAAGCCATTTCTCCTCCTCGGTGCTCCCCAGCGCAAGATAACATTCCTGCCTTAAACACTTTGGCCTTTTTTCTTTTTCTTTTTTAAAAGGTGCTTAATACTCAATACTGTCGTTAACATTTTTCTTGACATTAAGCAACTGTGCGTGCACGTCTGTGTGTGTTTGCGCACATCCCTGGAGGCAGAGCAGGTGATGTGTGTGTTCGGCGGGTGAATTGGAAGTAGAGGGAGGAGGAGGAAACATTAAACAGAGGTTCTGTGTCCTGTCATCACACTGTCTAGACAGGACACCTCCTAGACCTAATGAGGTCTTTGTCTGCTTGAATCGCTCTCTTTTCAAGCGAGCGCACACACACACACAGACACACAAATATCTCCATACATCTTGGTTTTTCCTCATTTCCTGTCCTCCTGTAAGACATTTTTTACCAAAGCGCATTAAAGCCACACACGGGGAGATTCTTGCACGCGTGCCGTGTGCTCGGGCGCCTGCCCGGCACGCAGAGGGAGGCCGAAGCGTGCTCCGAAAACAGAGGAATGTTTACACCTGGCGCAGATCTGACAAGAGCTGCTGAGTCTTCTGCAATAATTACAGCATATTGCGCCGGTTACTGGGTCACACGAACACACGTCTTATCCCAGTAATCAGGTGTCCTTCAAAGCAAAAATGGCAGCTGCTGCAGACTTCGTTCTTTTGATGCCTTTTTAATCTTTTGTGACGGATTGGTTTCGTTGTCCAGCCTTCCTATTGTTCTGATATCTGGTGATGCTCCTTCACGATCCGCTTTGAAACGGGAAAAAAATAAATGAAAAAAAGGTGCAAGACCATTTCTTTAAACAACATGTGTATTTGTAATTCACTGATGAAGAGAATAAGTTTTGTTCAATCAGCTCGTGCACACGTTGCTATGGGAAACGTGAAGCTTGCTGACAACGATAGCAAATTGTGGCGCTGCTTAAACTACATTTAGCTTTGCCTCTTATCTTCATTTCTGGGATTTACGTTTGACGTTGAGGCCTCCGGATGATATAGATCACCTGAGATACCCCGAGGCTTCTGCCAACTAAAGGCTCTGGCAACCTGTCGCTCCGGCAACGGAGACGGAGTGGGATTGGATGTCAGGAATTCCTGCTTCTCGGCCTGGACAGAGGATGAGATGAAACACAACATAAAAATGTAAAGACAGCGAACTATATAAGGGTAATTATTCAAAATATGAAAAAAGTTTTATCCTTTTTGACATTTTTTTATCTGACACACATCTGACTTTCTAGTGTGCATTATCTTTTTAGTATGAGAATCAACTTTGAAAAAAGTGAAACACAATAGATCCCGAATGATCTCTCATGCATGACATGCTTCATTGTTCCATCTCAACAAATGCAGTCTGTCTGCCAGGATATCAGTGATATAGTGATAAAGTAATATTTCTGTAATGTGCCGTCCTGTTGCCATGTGACCCGTCCTGTGAGAAACGGAGCGGTGTGCAGGAGGAGGAAGCGCTGCGGCAGCTGCTCCTGGATCGACGGTTGGTCGGCCCTGCAGGAGCTGATCTTCTCCGCATAAACACTGCAAATGATAACGGGTTAATCAGCAAATAAGTGTTCAAAGTGTTTCTGATTATTAAAACCGTAACCGCCAGCCCTTCCCGGCTGCTTCCGCTCCGCTTCCTCACCCACATGAAAGCGCCGGGTAATATCCCAAATCAGTCCTATGGAAAGAACTACGCCTCACGATGCCGCACTTTGATGCCCCGTGTGTATGTGTTGGTGAGCTGCAACTTATTCGCCCTCCTCTGATGTTAAACCAGAGCTAAGTGATCCCTCATCCCTCACAGAGCCCAATTAGGCCCAGGCTTGACTGTGGGAAGAGGGACTTCCGAAAAGAATTAGGCTAATCTCTTTCTAACATCTAAAGAGAGAGACACAGAGCGAGAGAGAGAGAGAGAGAGAGAGGGGGCTCACATGGATACGCCTTTTGGGGATTTTAGGGATACGGGGGCATTCATGCATTAATAGGAAATGCCGTACTGAAATGTGAGCATTACTTTATCCTCCGACTGCTGCTGCTGCTGCTGCTTGATGGAGGGAGGAGGGGAGTGCTGATGGTGAGTTTTGGCTTCGGCGCGGCGTTGAAGCCAAATTAAGACAACAGATTCACGGTTGTCTGATCTTACCGACAAAGACGGTTTTCCGAAAGTGGAAATGGGTCACAGGCCAGTTTCTCAGTGGTGTCTACACGGCAGTAAAAAACAATACCAGCCTCTCCATCTCTGGTCTTCACATCTCTACAGTTGGGCATCAAATATCCTAAAATACCGACTCCAATAAAAAATTGTCAACGTGTTTTGTGTTGGATGTAGAAAACTATATATTATCTTTATTTCGCTACCACCAAAGCAATGGCAGTGTAGTTTTAAACTGGTGAAAATATGATTTAAAAAGGATGTTATCATCTGTTAATTTAGATTAGGAAAATCTAACATTCAGTTTTATTCATATCTTTTTCAAAACAGATGCAGCAGACAACAGCAGACCGTTTGTTAGTTATTCGTAATACATTGGGGTGCGATACCCATGATGCAGCGGTCATGAACGCCTGCATACACAGGCCTGTGCGAGCACAGCAAAAGCATCCCGGGCTCCAGTCAGACGACGGGATGAGAGTTTAGAGATGGAATACGTCTTTGGCGGACGTTGGGAGTCAAACGGTGGGACACAAACGTCAGGCGGGTCTATTACTATCAAAGGAAAGCCTGAATCACCTTCAGACCAAAGAGGGTGAAAGGAAACGCAGCCCGCTGCAGCAGAGCATCGGGCCCGGGACGCTCACGGTTGTGTGAAAACTGCCAAAGAAACGCATAATACAGAATACATTGCTGGCGTTAATCGAGGTTACAGCTATCGAGGGAACAGCGATTTCACTCTTTAAGTGTAACTCTGCTTTCTGTCCTGCAGTCAGAATGTGAACGCCTCCTCGCTCGCGGTCCCTCCAGACACATTTACATTATTACCGAGTGCACCGCGGAGAGCGGCGGGGCGGGAGGGAGAAACCAGAGAGTACACTGCGAGGTACGGTAAGCCTCTGGCATCCGTCCTAATTTCTAAAGAGCTCCAGCTGGAACCGAAACGCTTTCTACCGTTGAGCGCTCCCAAGTTCCACGCCACAATCCCGACTCCCTAATTCCTCCAAGTCGCTGATTCTATTTGACCGCCCCTTATTGAGAGCACATGTGTCGGACATGTTTTCATAACCCCAAATCATCGTGCTCGCTTTCAGGTTGTTTTTTTTTCTTTCATTCTGCAGGGAGCCGTGGAAATAATGTGATTCTATTGATTCTCTTTCTTTCTCTGAGCCGGTCAAATGAATTAAAAAAGAAAACTACTGGCGTTAACATACATGCGACCAATCCGGGGGCCTGGTCAGGCTTCACACACAGTCAGCGCTCTGGCGGACAGGCTG